TCTCTCTCTCTCTCTCTCTCTCTCTCTCTCTCTCTCTCTCTCTCTCTTTCTGCCACGGATGTCTCACTCGATGAGCCTCATTCATCCGCCCCAAATCTCAACGCTCTGACTTTGTCCGCAGGCATTAGGATTTTTATCTGTCAACCTCAGACGGACCGTAAATACGATGACATGGTACCTACTTTGTTCCGAGTCCCTCTTCTCTCCCCCCCCTCGATCCGTCCTTTTATCCACCTTCCCTCTCCGTTCCATGTGCTCCTGTAGATTACAGTTGGCATTTGGCTTTTGGAATGTCCCAGGTGTTGTAAGTAACAAGTGCGCGGCTCCAATTGTCCTTTTGTCTTTTGACAGAGCGAGGCACCGAGATGTTCCCAAGCCGAGGCCAACGTTAGGTTAACCGAATGCAGAGACTTCAGCCTAGCCACCGAGGAACTCTAAGCTAGCTTGGCTTGACACGCTAGCTCTCACATTTTTGTCAAATCTAACTCTCTAAACCACAGGTTTTTGTCTTGCTTAGCAGAGCCAGACAAGGAGTTTTCTGGAGGCTTTGCCTTTTCTTCTTTAGTTGGAACATCGGGGGAAATGTGCTTTAACAGCCTGCAGCCTCTTTAGGTGTCTTTCCGCACTCAGGTTTTTGATTGGCAGCCCAGCGGCTCAGGCGATATTACCATAGTTATCTCACTACACCACATGCCTAACAGCACTGACAGCCACCGGAGCTGTCTGTCACGGCTCTTAACTTTCAACCTATGGAGTTCACTCATAAAAAAAGGGATAAACATGCAAACAGGGGTCGTATTGGTTCTGCAAAAAGTCACAAGCAGCAAGGTGATCTCTGTGAAGGTGACGCTGAGATGGTTGCGGTTTAAGTAAAAGTCTCATGTTTTCGTGATATCTTTGATCATCATATCATTTACCAATATTTGCATATCTTGCTTCTCTGCCTGTTGTGTTCTCTCGCTGGTGTCGATTCATTTTGAAATCTTGAGAGCAAGGAAAGAGGAGCTGTGTCTAGGATTTTGAGGGTGCAATTATTAGGGACCAAAAATATGCTGTGGGCAGCATTCTGTAGCTGCGTCTTCGGTTGTATTGACTGCACCTAAATAACTCCAGTAAGATCGGGGGGGGGGGGGGGGCATTCAAAATTGAAGGATGCGTATCCTCCTGATTTATTCCAATTCCATAGCATTTACATTTACATATAGATGAACAGGAAAACATAAATAACAACACAGACAATGATAACTTAAAGATAACCATAACCCCAGATGAAAGGCACCCGATAACCTCTTTAAATAGCAGTTTTGACGTGAGTTTAAAAATGTTGACTTATTCATGATCTAAGCAGTCCCGCTTGTCGATATATAAGATGTGTAAAAACATATCATAAAGAAGCCCCGATGATGATTTCAGTGTCTGTCTCTCTCTCCGTCTCCTTTCAGACTCTCATGGGATGGATCTGTTTGCGGTTGCGGTCCACGAGTTTGGTCACGCCATCGGCCTGGTCCACACCTCAGCCATAGAGTCCATCATGAGGCCGTACTACCAGGGTCCTGTAGGCGACCCGCTGAAATACGACCTACCCTACGAAGACAAGGTCCGCGTCTGGCAGCTCTACGGTACGAGGGAACATCCATCCACTGCTCCGTGTGTGTGTGTGTGTGTGTGTGTGTGTGTGTGTGTGTGTGTGGGAGGGACAGAGAGAAAAAAGAGCAATTGCCCCGTGGAGCAAGGGTATTGATTAATGAAAGCATGGATTGAGTTAATTGGACCTCTTTATGGGATATGACCTTATCACACCGTTGACTGACATGGAGAGTAGCAGTGTGCGGGGGAGAGACTAATGATCATGAAGATGAGAAGGAAATGCAGTAAATAATGCTGGTATACTAAGAATAAGCATCTCATACTGTTTATTTCATGTTATACTGTGGTGCAAATACAATAAATGCGTCATCATGCGGAAGAGTAGAGGAACTGAGCCAACAAATCAAAATTAGCAGAATGTCTATTGGTTGGCTTTGGGATTAATAGATGAATTGCTCCCAGAGCCCACTGTCAATGTAGTGCCTTGTCTTTTGAGTGTTCATTTGATCCTTCCTTAATCACGTGTCACCCATAGGTGTCAGAGACTCGGTGTCCCACACAAACAGGCCAAGCAGCTCGTCCCAGACGGCTGAACCTCCTGTCCTGCTGGACCTTCCCGAAAACAGATCCACCTTCCTGTAAGTAGCAGATCTGCTGTGCTTTGAGTGCAACACAAATAACGCTGATGTTTGACAACCCAAACATCCATCCGCCCGTTAAAGAGAGAGATAATAATTACGTAAAGTAGTAATTACTTGAGGGAGCATAAATATGATTCGTGGATATGTACAGGTTGGTGATGAATCAAAAAGATCACCACACAGGTGTAGTCTCACTCGACTGTGGGTATAAGCCTGCCATTGGCCGCCTATCTAACGCGGTGCTGTGCTATTTCCCAAGGGCATTGTCGCTGCATCCTGTGCTTAGCGCTGCCCAAGGCCATTGTGATTGGTTTAAGAACATGCAAACAAGCCAGATCGTTTGCTCCCCCTATACCAGAATGACAATGTGTGGAGCCAGACCTCTCTTCTAGAGCTCACACGGCGCTGTGGAGATACATCTGGCTATGCGAGACTACCACCGGGCTCCTCCTCTGTGGACCATTTCTTTTACGTTCCAGTTGAAAGCCTTGACGTGAAGGTGGCACTGTTGGAAAGGTGATGGGTTCATCAAAAAACAGAAGGAATCACAAAGCCAAGGACCATTAATGTCGATACACAATTCCATTACAATGCGTTCAGTGGCTTTAAAGATATCTCACTCTGGACCAAAGGCTCGGACTGACCAACGGACCTGCCCTGAATGCACAACAGTGTCTGTCGCACTACACGGCGCATGAACCGTAAGTGAATTTTGAGTGATGACCTGGATTGAGTCTCTTTGTCTACTATCTCACATCAGGAGCCAGGCCGTCATGCTACAGTATCCCTCCTGTTGTCTTTCTACTACCATCTTTATATATCGACTTTGGGACTTTGGCTTGTGTGCGTCTGAATACCGTTATAATGTACAGAAAATAGACGCATCCATCCCTATCCAGCATAGTGCATTTTTGTCATCCTAGCGCTAACCTTATAGATCTTGATACATTAATTATTGTGAAGCATAAACAGAGGCTGGTGGCTTTGCGAGTTGCAAAGTGTGTTAACTGTACTCAGGCGGTCTCTTGAATTAATAGGATCAAGAGAGGGCAGCTTGCTGAGGGAGTGATCGAACTGCGTTTCCAGCTATGCTGACAACAACCCCCGATGCATGCTGACCTCCATGCGTACACTCACACTCACGCAGCGGTTCCAAACCAAACACACTTATACAACCCTCGGTTACCGGCCTTCCACTGCCCTCATTACTCATTTTTTCACCACCTCCATATCCGGGCCTGATGCGTGGAGAAGCTGGATTATGCTTGACAAGGGTCACGAACGCTGACCGTTAGGCAGCGGTGCTGCGTTAATAGAGCTCTGAATGGAGATCTTTGTTGATAACGCGAGGGCCGGCGGCCTCCCACTCACAGAGGCAGCCCTGTGGTGCTAATGGCTTCATCATTGCCAGGCCGGCCACGTCAGTGTTTTAAATCACTTATTAGCCCAGAGGATAAATTCACTGGGAGACCTCAGCGTGTCAGCGTGGTAGCATTTCACCCAGCTTTTTTAACCTTGTTCAACCTGTTTAATGAAAGGAAACCCATTCACTCTCTCTCAGTAGGAAGGTGCAATTATCACATAGTTGTTTTCTTTTATTGCAAATGGTTTTAACTGGTTTCGGCCTTTTTTTTTTGTGTGTGAGCTGCATGCTTTTCAACAAGTGAGATTATTTTATGTAAATATGTATGTATGTATGTATGTATGTATGTATGTAGCCTCGACTTTGAACAAAATACAACTTTTCTTTCTTCCAACTTGTGTCTCTCAGGTTGGCCCGAGATGCCCCGGACAGATGCACCAGTCATTTCGATGCCGTGGCCCAAATACGAGGGGAGGCCTTCTTCTTCAAAGGTATTCAAGCCTGAAAGGAGAGAGTAAACGAGAGAGACGGACGGTTAAACAGAGAGCGACAGTGAGAGAGAAGAGTGGGGGGAAAAAAAAAAGGAATGGAGAGGAGATAAAATGAAAGAGTAAGGGACAAAGGGGGCTGGGCAGAATGGAGGCTCCAGCGGTCGATAGGAAGCCAAGTCATGTGTGGCTCCCAGGGCCCGTATCACAGGCTCACACTCGTCACATATTCTGCAGGCTAAACAAACAGTTGTCATGTTGAAAATGACTTCTTGAAACACAACACTATGTGATGTGAATTGGCTAAAGTTTTGCTTCTTGCTAATTAAGTACACTTATCCCCCTAAACACAAGCCCAACTGCCTTATTTCGCAGCACTCTTTTCCACAGATAAGAGCCAAAGAAATATATAGCTTTCGCTTGTCTATTAGGGGAAGGAATCTGTAATGTGATTATAGCAGACGCAGCACAGCGTCCTATCTAAACATGGCTTCTCTTGGGATAAACTCCTACAGGATATTGTGAAGATGTTTCGAGCTCTAACCTGTTCCTGTTTGTCCATAGGGAAGTACTTCTGGCGACTAACGAGAGAGAAGCACCTGGTGTCTCTGCGTCCCGCTCAGATCCATCGCTTCTGGAGGGGCCTCCCTCCCAATCTGGACAGTGTGGATGCTGTATATGAGAGGCCTGGGGACCACAAAATAGTCTTCTTCAAAGGTAAATATCTCTATCTGATCGTAACTTTGTCTGTGTGAGTGTTGTTGACTGACGAGATCACTTTTGCATTCTTGGTACACATCAGGCACAATTGACGGATTTAATTCTAAACGTTTCGATAGTAATTGGATGGATGTATTCCAAACTATAAAGGCGGTGTTTCTCCCTTTAATTGTGACCACTGTGTCCATCCCCTTCAGGTCTAAAGTACTGGGTATTTAAAGACAATAACGTGGAGGAGGGTTACCCTCGTCCAATCAGTGACTTCGGCCTGCCCTTGGAAGCAGTGGATGCAGCATTTGTTTGGTTACACAACGAGAAAACCTACTTCTTCAAGGACAGCCACTACTGGCGCTATGACGACCACCTGAGACGTATGGACCAGGGCTACCCTAAAGACAGCACGCTCTGGAAGGGGCTGCCGCCAAAACTGGACGACGCCATGCGGTGGTCTGATGGTGAGTAACCTTAAAAATCAACACTTTTTCTTTACTCCAGCTGGGTTGGTTATTTGCTGGATGTACTTTCATGAGAAGATTCAGTAAATGAATGCCACAGAGCGCTTTCATTTTCGTCTTTTATATTCTCTTGGCTGTGACGGATCACGCACACCTTCAATTTCTTGTGGACAAGTGCATAGGAGGAAATATTCATAAGCAAGAGAAGAAAGCATCCCTGCACGCTGTCCTTTTACCTGAAATAAATTGTATTGGAAAGGACAAATTGTATTTAAACAAAGTTCATTGCAAGTCAAAAGGTGAATGTTTTGGGATTCTCGCTCCTCTCATCTTTATGCTGTCTGCCTAAATAGCAACATGGAAACACAACTAAAAACAAAAAACTTCCCCATCAGTGGTAGACCTGTGAAAATGGAAACACAGGTTTTTAAAGTCACATGTGGCTCTAAAAAGGAACTGTGAAAAGTTAGAGAAACATTTCGTCACTTTTATGTGACAAATATGCTCAATAAAACATTTTTTGGCAGAAGTATGGAATCTGCCAGCGTGTGGAATCTGGCAGAAGTGAACGTTATTCAGGCCTGCAGCTGTAACCTCTGCTTCTAAAGACTACAAACAATTAGCTTAGCTTACCTGAGCACACATGTATATATATTCATATCTATCCTAATACCTGTAGCACGGTATTGGTTGAAGCGAATGATCATTTGTATCATTCTTAACAAGTAAGAGAATCGGTGCGGTATTTCATCAAGGAAGTAAAGCCTGTACACAAACTGCACACTCAAACACACACAAACTCGCATGCTGTAAGCTCTTGGCAAAGACGATGTGTACATACTCGATAACGGATAACCAGTGACTCATAAAAAGCGAGCCGTGGTTATGGAAAATGTACGTTTGCCTTCAGGGCCCATGTTTCCAGAGAACAAACTTTTTAGATTACAGACACCGAGTCGGTCTACCAGAAAGAGGTTGAAAAACTGGCAGCTGGGCCTGCCAACAAACAGCCTTGACCTACACACTGCAAACACAGCGGAGTGTCGAATCAATCCACCAGCCGGTCTTCCCCCTTATTAATCCATGCTGCCTTCATTAGCTCAGTGAGTCGGTCAAAACACTAAAGTGGGATTTCAAAACTGGATTAGCAAGAAAGTCTAACTGAGGATTCTCCTCCAGCATTAACCTGCAGGGCAATCGATGTCTCCCAGTCGACCCTGATCGGGTTCTACAGATCCATCGTCTGATGCAAATCAGCCTTTTTCCTGCTGCCAGATAAAACAGAAGTCTGTCAATTGAGAAGCTGAGTTTTGCGGTCCAGCGCACCAGAGGAAGAAAGGAGGCAATGAAAGAAAACCGCCGCTTTTACCCCGTTTCATGGGCAGCATTGCATTTTACACACTGCCCTCTGGTGTACAGCTTCATTGAATCGGCCCTCGCACTCCGCCTCAGCATCCGTTACCTCGCTGCAGCCATTGTGTTAGTTATTAGTTTAGCTTTACTTTCCCTTTCTTCGCAGGTCGAGTCTACAAAATGTGTTTACCGCTACTTTAATTTGACACACACTACTTGTGTCGGTCTTGAATTGTGTAACCATCCCATGACTGAGCAAATGTATTATGTTACTTATAGCATGAGTTATCATTATCAGTTTTTTGTTTTTTTTATATCAACAATGGATGACAACTCTTAATGTGAAAGGTGCCGCTGTTAGTGACAAACATGACCAGACTCTGCAGTTCCCCATCAGTTCTACGGAGCATTTTAGCATCTTTCAGCACATTGTTTTGGTTTCACAACTTTACTGTTTGTTCGCAGCTCACATCAAGCCGGTTTTCCTGCGCAGCGGGCCTTTTTTTTTGTGAATATTCTAGTTTGAGGATGTGTAAATACATTTCATGAGTCATAAAACGCTCCCACAGTTAATACTAGGTCCAGATAACACTGTGCATCCACGGGCACCACTTTAATCATGCAAATCATACAACCATTTGTTTTAAGTGCGCACGAACAAGTGACCGAGTTTCAAATCGCCGCTTTTCTCCTCATTATGCGGCTCTCGGCTTTGGCATTTCTCCACAATGGCGCGTCCACTCCTTCCTAGCTACCCTGGGAATAACAGGTGTTTTATCAGGCTCCCAAAGTCGTCTCTGCTTATCTCCACATTCAGCCCGAACTGCTTGTTAAACTTAAACGTGTGAGCATTGGAGCTGATTGTGGGCTCTCGGGGACCGCAAGCAAAGGCCGCCGTCTTCCTGAGAGCGTCCTACTTGTTTGTTGTCGCTGAGTGATCGCGGGCGACAAATGTTTCACTGTGGCAGCACGGGCGCTTGCCTTCTGTTCATGTATAATTAAACCGCTTCCAGAAAATGACTGTGAAATTTTCTGAAACGCATCAGGGAAGAAGTGGCAGCGGCAGATGGACGACACCAGTATTATTCTCCGCTAACTGCCACAAATTGGCTCACGGCTTTTATGACATACGGTCGGCCACTGACCCAGTAAAGTAACTGTGTCTCGGAGAAGTCGACGCTCAATTGTTCTAACGGCAGCGTAAAGAATACAAATCTTTCTCTGGTGTTGTGTGAGTCAATATGTGACCTAATGGAAGCAATGCATATGAAGTACTGTTACTGATTCAATTTTTTAAAGTGTTGTTTTAGTAAATTTTCATTTTGAATAAAATGACCTTTGTGGAGAGGACCAGCATGTATGTACAGTATTTTACCTGTGTGTGTCTGTGTGTGTGTGTGTGTGTGTGTGTGTGTGTGTGTGTGTGTGTGTGT